AAATTAAAAAAAATAAGAAAAAAATAATAGGTTAAGTAATAATTGTAATTACGAAGCAATAAGATGCTTATCTTAACATACTAAGAAGGTTAGGTAAGGTCGGTGTTTTCTATGAATCTTTTCAAGGTAAACTAAAATAGTCACAATAAATTAGTTTGTCACATATGCACGTATTTAATAAGTCAATATTGACTATACGAAAGTGCGAGAACGGGTTGCAACAGTATATGTAAAACCCCTTTATTTATAATGATATATTCATACACCTATAATTCTAATAAGAAAAAGTCCTTAATATAAGTCGTGCACATTTTCGTCTTATAGGTTCTGAGGCCCTGGGCACTTGGGTTAAATGTGCACTCAAGTTCTTTAAAGGTGGTGGGTGAGGAACTTGTTAGGCCAAACTAGAGACTCAAGAGCGGCCAGTTTCCTGTTCTAGCGCCTCAGTGTTGCGATCCAGATAGGAAATGCTGTATCTTGGGCGCGCACCCCACCACCAAAGAGCTGGATGAGGTCTTCGAACAGTAATTGCTATATGTGTGTGGTGTTTTCTATTGCACAATGTAATAAAATAAATAAAATATATTGGATAGAATAATAATAATAAAAAAGTAAGGGCGGCAAGAGAAAAAATAATCAAGTGTTCAGGATATTCTACAAGATCTTCTCTGAATGACCTTTATTCTCTGCACCGAGGCCATGGGTCCCTACAATTGCACTAGGGGTTGAACCCTTGTATATTGTTGTGTTAGTGCAACATGCATCGTGTACTCCTGAAGGTGTTACGTTGCTGACGGAACGTCGTAACAATACAAATGGAAAGATGATTAAGTGATCTAGTATTTCTTCACTCCCTAGATGGTAGAGCATATTTGTGTAGAATGGAAAATATCCAAAAGAAAAATAATAATAGTCACAATATTGTGTTTAATGACACACACACACACACACACACACACACACACACACACACACACACACACACACACACACACACACACACACACACACACACACACACATATTATATGAGGTCTTTATAGTGATAGTTCCAATATTGGAACTATCAGGAGATAGTTCCAGTAGTGAAGTTTATTTTTTTGGTTGGTGTGCAAAGGACTATTTTTTATTTTTTACACGTTAGGCCAGTATTACTTTTGGTGGATGGGTTGACGAAATCGGTGCCATGTCTTCCCTAGTATATTTATGCTCGATGGTCTCGTAGTCATAAATCCGCGGATCCTGCAGCAGCTTGCACGAACGTAAACATGTCAGCACACTGGCGATTCGTACGGATTTTCTTATGCGAACTCAAAACCTATTATTTGAGCACGTTGTATGGCTCACCTTTTCGTAACGTAAAGGTACAAAGGCTTTCATGGAGGGCTTAGAGCTTATCATACATGTATGTACATACAAGTGTATATTATTATTATTATTATTATTATTATTATTATTATTATTATTATTATTATTATTATTATACTTGAATAAGTAGTGTGTGTGGAGTCTAGGGGCGCCACATCTGGTGGCAGCGGTGGGATCCGAACCCACGCCTCCGATGTAACATTTAAATAGGTAGTGCATATATTTCTAATTTTTAGGAACTAAGACAAACTTCGAAAAGAAAGATAAAAATTTGCCGAGTTTCACATACAAACTGGCTCGTGGCAAGACTTACACTGAAAGATCATTTAACAATAGAATAAATCCCCGGGGTGCAGCCTGTCTACAGAAATATGGACGACACTAGAGTCCCGGGAGGGTAATGCCGACTCGAGAGTGACAACCCGAGAAGAGACATTGATGTGGGCGTCTGGCAGCACCGACAAGGTAATTATGAGCATCATTAGTGGCGATAATTACTTCGGAACTAACGGAGGTGATATAACTTCACATCGCCCACCTGCCCAGGTAACGTGAGTGTAGGCGGGGGCGGCCACCCCCTCTACCCCCGTTATTCAAAGTTACTGAAAAAAACATTGTATAATATATTATGGCTGTTGTATCGTATAAATCACATCAGTGTCATACCATCGTGGCTATAGGTGATTTATGGTGAAACCAGCGATCGTACTCCTCAATACCAACAAAGTAATTTCTCCGGCATCAGATAACAATATCATAAATATATTTCCGGGAGCCAGATCATATCATAATGCAGTTTGTCAGTTTATTAGCTCTTTACAATGGTAATCTTGGCACTTAGGCTGCGGCGTCTGCCTTTATGAGTACTGCAGGAGGCATATTTTGTTAGATTTATGGCGGGCAAGAATTTTGGCGGGAAGAACAAGGCGCGAGTGAGAGTTTTGACGGGAAGAACAAGGCGCGAGTGAGAGTTTTGGCGGGAAGAACAAGGCGGGAGTGAGAGTTTTGGCGGGAAGAACAAGGCGGGAGTGAGAGTTTTGGCGGGAAGAACAAGGCGCGAGTGAGAGTTTTGGCGGGAAGAACAAGGCGGGAGTGAAGGTTTTGGCGGGAAGAATAAGGCGGGAGTGAAGGTTTTGGCGGGAAGAACAAGGCGGGCAAGAATTTTGGCGGGAAGAATAAGGCGGGAGAGTTTTGGCGGGAACAGGCAGCTAGGCACGAGGTGGAATATACTCGTCTAGTCCAACAAGAAAGTCCACGTTAAGTACTTATTTTGAAGGTGGCTAGACAAAAGGTTTATACCAAACCTAACCTTTCCAAGGCTTTGTATAGTACATACATGTAATCATTTAGGTCTAGCACTTCATATTTAGGTCCCGGACAGTTTATAGGCTAGGGTGCTGTACCTCTGGGTATACCTCTTAGTATACTACACTGGACTGGGTTTTTTTTTGGGGGGGGGGGGTATATAGTCCACATTTTGTACAATATATTCACGGTCATTAGTACAGTAGGTACACCTGACACCGTTTTCTGTGATCTTATTTTGACTCTCTCTCTCTCTCTCTCTCTCTCTCTCTCTCTCTCTCTCTCTCTCTCTCTCTCTCTCTCTCTCTCTCTCTCTCTCTCTCTCTCTCTCTCTCTCTCTCTCTCTCTCTCTCTCTCTCTCTCTCTCACACACACACACACACACACACACACACACACACACACACACACACACACACACACACTCTCACACTCTCACACTCTCACACTCTCACACTCTCACACTCTCACACTCTCACACTCTCACACACTCACACACACACACACACACACACACACACACACACACACACACACACACACACACACACACACACACACACACACACAACAGTCCCCCATTAGATAATTAGCTACAGGGTCTCATGTTACAGTTAATATCCGTGATGCTAACAATTAACCCTCATAAAATGGAGGTAATTTGTAGAGATGTCCGTCATTACAAGGGGTGATGGCTGGGGTTCCTGCCCCCCCCTCCCCCCCCCTGAGGTGACCAGTCAGCCAGGCGGGCAGTTACCGGTCAAGCTGCTCATCACCTTGACCCTTCAAACTGCCCAATCACCATTTAGTAGTTATAAACAGTCCCTTATTAACAACTGTCTCGGTTCGTATATCAGACTAGAAGACGTATCCAAGTGCTCTATATAGTCGTAATGGCTTGGTGATTTTCCCTGACAGTTCCCCTCCCCCCCCGCACCCCGGCGGGGTCCGGGTCTTTCTCCCCCCCCCCTCTTACCCCTCTCCCCCTCCCCTCCCTTTCCCCTCTTCCCAGTTTTTACTTCAAACTCGAGTGATCGACTGAGCTGCTAACGACTTAAGGTGTAGTGATGGTCTCGGCTGTTCAATGAGGCTGTTGTGGCCGCTCCAGGTTTGTGGCCATCTGGGTGAGGATAGGTGCGGGTGTAGGGAGGGTCGGAGCCGACCATTGTTTATGTCTTGGTGACCCTCCTTGTAAACCTGTCCCGCTCCTGCAGGGGTCTATCCCCGAGCACCACACACACACACACCTGCCTCGTACACACACAACACACAACACACTAAGGACACACAACACACTAAGGACACACAACACACAACACACAACACACTAAGGACACACAACACACTAAGGACACACAACACACAACACACAACACACTAAGGACACACAACACACTAAGGACGCACAACACACTAAGGACACACAACACACTAAGGACACACAACACACTAAGGACACACAACACACTAAGGACACACAACACACTAAGGACACACAACACATACCGCCAGCCACCAACACATAAAAATACATAAACGGAATCGGTAATTATCTATATTTTTCTCTAATTACGAGCAGAGCCCACATGCTAATTACCTTCATTAATTATGCAACATGCAATTCTCGGAGCATGAATAGTTGAACGTCTCAAGTCGTCCTACTCAAGGGGGTTAAGACGTCCTTCTAGGCTTAAAGAGACCAACTTAAGGGGGTTAAGACGTCCTTCTAGGCTTAAAGAGACCAACTTAAGGGGGTTAAGACGTCCTTCTAGGCTTAAAGAGACCAACTTAAGGGGGTTAAGACGTCCTTCTAGGATTAGAGACCAACTTAAGGGGGTTAAGACGTTCTTCTAGGATTAAAGAGACCAACTTAAGGGGGTTAAGACGTCCTTCTAGGATTAAAGAGACCAACTTAAGGGGAGTTAAGACGTCCTTCTAGGATTAAAGAGACCAACATTAAGGGGGATTAAGATATATTAATCATCTGGGGATTAATATCTCGACGTCTCTGTTGATGTTAGAAGGACCACTTGTGTATGGTGAGTAGTTATACGATAACACATCAAGAATGATAACTACCTGTACTTTCCTAACACTGGGTAATGACACATTTCATGTTATATGTCTAATCTACGATAACATAAGTCAGATTAGAGCTATACACGTACACATACACCAGCCACACACATGGTAGATGTACGTCACAGGTGTAAACACCAGACTTCACACACAGATAAACAAAACAGAGATAAACGAGGCAATAGATAGACACGAAGAAATCATTGGGGGTCAAAATAATAGAACAATTCCCTTCCAATAATACTCACCAGAATCCGAGCCGTTAACCGCTCCCACCACGTGACCTGCGGAGATGAAATATACATTAATATACATACCAAAATACATGTATATGTCTTCCCAAACCGGTCTCCTAATTCGTCGCATTTTTGTACGGTTATCGATCAGTTAGATAGATGTATACCCGAAGGATCAGACAGTCACCCATCGAAATATTGACGTTTTCTATGGACTGCGGCCAACATTACTGGCTGGGATGGCGGGTTAAGTCGACCAATCACAGGGGGTGTTGACGGTCATTCAAATAATTAAATTAAGAACCTCGACCAATAGTAATTAGTTTTAATAACGATCATTACCGTTTTGGACGGGTTGGTACATTTGCATACATATGCTGGACACACTGTTCCAAATTGCATTCCAACGTCTGATGACTTTGGCAGATGTCATATATTATGTTGACAGTTGTTAATATTTTCAAACGTGGATATATGCATATGTTAGGTCCAACACTTGCATATGTTAGGCCTAAAACCTGCAGATGTTATGTCCATTACTTGAGTAGATGTTCAGAGGACTTGATACGGCAGTAAGACATTCAGAACAGCTTAAGGCTATACAAAGGCCAATCAAAGTCGTTAAAACATTTACGTAACTTATAAGTATAACCCATATATCTTCCTATAAGACGTGAGTATAACTAACACCAGAAAACCTCTGAAGCAGGTCGATGATTCCATCCTCGCCTGCCATATATATATATATATATATATATATATATATATATATATATATATATATATATATATATATATATATATATAATCAGCTTTATAACCAATGTCTATAATAGAAATACAGACAACAACTATTAATCCTATAAAGAAGGAGGAAACACAGACACAGAATTTCACAGCTATAATCTGGCTCCAGCACTAATACCCTATAAGAAAGATATACTAAGAGATAATAATTTTCAAACACAGTCATACTAAGAAACAGAGGAACAAGTTGCCTAATACAAAAATAATAACAACAGTACGCATAAAATACAGTAAATAATAAAATACAATAAAAAGCCTGCAAACAATGAATAAAACAGTGGACCATCAAGACCGTGGGAAGAGGAGGGTGACCGTGGGAAGACTGGGGGTGCCGTGGGAAAATGACAGGGAGCGTGGGAGCGGGCCAGACTTGTGCTATAGCTGCACCTCTCTCGCCTGGACCTCTCACATTCACTGACTTACTAAACCTCGTATTTCCACAGGGGAAAAAAGGTAAATTATTTTGCTAATATGTCTTTTTTTAAAAAGGTTTCTACGTTATTTTTTAAATAGAGAAGTCTATTATATATATATTATATATATAATATATTTGATGCAACCTTGAAAGATTGCCGCAATTAAGTGTTGGGAGCCCCAGAATGCAAATTGGCACTCAAAGCATTTGTTTTTTACGTCAGTATCTGTAATATTATGAACAGTCGGAAAAACTCTATGGACTCAGAACCGATCATTTCATCTCCACCAAATTCATGGGGATCGTTGTTGTAGCCGACCCTTTCTCCCATCTCTTAAATGGGGCAATTCCAACCTGCCTATGGCAGTCCCCCAGCACTCACCAGTCACCCTGTAAAATTTAATAAGGCTAACCCTAAGCGTCTGGCGTCCAACCTCGGACACACAGACAAATAGACAAACTTCCATTCAGTATATCTATACTTTGAGTTGCAAGAATAATCACAGATATCTGGGCGAGTATTTTCAGTACTTTCGATTGGATCCGGTGGTTCATTCCTGTTGGGTTAATGTAGAGCCTTTGATCAGAGACACAGCCGTACATGGGGACATAACCAGACACAGACACCCAGCCCGAGAGCATAGAACGACACAGACACCCAGCCAGGGGACATAGGAGGACACAGACACCCAGCCAGGGGACATAGAACGACACAGACACCCAGCCAGGGGACATAGAACGACACAGACAGCCAGCCAGGGGACATAGAACGACACAGACACCCAGCCAGGGGACATAGGAGGACACAGACACCCAGCCAGGGGACATAGGAGGACACAGACACCCAGCCAGGGGACATAGAACGACACAGACACCCAGCCAGGGGACATAGGAGGACACAGACACCCAGCCAGAGGACACAAGAGGACACAGACAGCCAGCCAGAGGACAGACTCCCAGCCAGAGGACACAAGAGGACACAGGCACCCAGCCAGGCAACATAGAAGGACACGGGCACCCAGCCAGAGGACACAAGAGGACACAGCCACCCAGCCAGAGGACACAAGAGGACACAGACAGCCAGCCAGAGGACAGACTCCCAGCCAGAGGACACAAGAGGACACAGACAGCCAGCCAGAGGACAGACTCCCAGCCAGAGGACACAAGAGGACACAGACCCCCAGCCAGAGGACACAAGAAGACACAGCCACCCAGCCAGGCAACATAGGACACAGAAACGCGGCCTTCCATTTCACTCTCATTTTCAGGATAATGAGGTACCCAGCTGGGCTTTGAGGGACGGAGAAGGATAGGGAGAGTGAGAGGAGAAGGAGGGGGAGGAGAGTGTAGGGGGGTGAGAGAAGAGTAAAGGGAAGGAGATGGAAGGGAGGAAGCTGAAATGGAAGCAGAACGAGGCCAAGGGAAGGGGGAGAGAGCAGAGAGGGAAGTGGGACTATAAGGGAACCAAGGACTATAAGGGACTATCGACTTGAGAATGGTCCAGGACGGACCGAAACGTCGTCGTCCCTTCACCTTCTAGTGTGTGGTCTGGTCAACATACTTTACCCACGTTATTGTGACTCATCGCCTGCACTATAAGGGAAAAGCAGAGAGGAATATCAATCACAATAATGTATAATGTTTGTGTACCACTAATGCCTAGGATAGGCTAGGTTGGGTGTTTTGATTGTGGTGGCACTTGATTGTGGTGGCACTTGATTATGGTGGCACTTGATTGTGGTGGCACTTGATGTGTCTGTGTTGATGAGGACGGTCTGTGTTGATGAGGACGGTCTGTGTTGATGAGAACGGTCTGTGTTGATGAGAACGGTCTGTGTTGATGAGGACGGTCTGTGTTGATGAGGACGGTCTGTGTTGATGAGAACGGTCTGTGTTGATGAGGACGGTCTGTGTTGATGAGAACGGTCTGTGTTGATGAGGACGGTCTGTGTTGATGAGAACGGTCTGTGTTGATGAGGACGGTCTGTGTTGATGAGGACGGTCTGTGTTGATGAGGACGGTCTGTGTTGATGAGGACGGTCTGTGTTGATGAGGACGGTCTGTGTTGATGAGAACGGTCTGTGTTGATGAGGACGGTCTGTGTTGATGAGGACGGTCTGTGTTGATGAGAACGGTCTGTGTTGATGAGGACGGTCTGTGTTGATGAGAACGGTCTGTGTTGATGAGGACGGTCTGTGTTGATGAGGACGGTCTGTGTTGATGTGGACGGGCTGTGTTGATGATGAGAACGGTCTGTGTTGATGAGGACGGTCTGTGTGTGATGAGGACGGTCTGTGTTGATGAGAACGGTGTGTTGATGAGGACGGTCTGTGTTGATGAGGACGGTCTGTGTTGAGGATGAGGACGGTCTGTGTTGATGTGTTGATGAGAACGGTCTGTGTTGATGAGAACGGTCTGTGTTGATGAGAACGGTCTGTGTTGATGAGGACGGTCTGTGTTGATGAGGACGGTCTGTGTTGATGAGAACGGTCTGATGTTGTTGATGAGAACGGTCTGTGTTGATGAGGACGGTCTGTGTGTTGATGAGGACGGTCTGTGTTGATGAGGACGGTCTGTGTTGATGAGACGGTCTGTGTTGATGAGAACGGTCTGTGTTGATGAGAACGGTCTGTGTTGATTCTGAGGACGGTCTGAGAGATTTGATGAGACGGTCTGTGTGATGAGGACGGTCTGTGTTGAGAGAGAGATGAGGACGGTAGAGAGAGAGAAGAGAGAGAGAGAGAGAGAGAGAGAGAGAGAGAGAGAGAGAGAGAGAGAGAGAGAGAGAGAGAGAGAGAGAGAGAGAGAGAGAGAGAGAGGTGTTTGAAGCTTTATTTCCTTAGCATATATCACCACCACTATGAGCATATATACGGGCTCACCATAGCCCGTGCTACTTGGACCGTTTTGCTCCAGGTAGCGAATCCTTAACAACTATGATTGAATACTGAGAGACGACCGGTCACGCCTGAGAGGAGGACGAGGACGAGGAGGGGGGGAGAGAGAGGAGGGGAGGGGAGAGAGAGGAGGACGAGGACGAGGAGGGGAGAGAGAGGAGGACGAGGACGAGGAGGGGAGAGAGAGGAGGACGAGGACGAGGAGGGGAGAGAGAGGAGGAGAGGGGAGAGAGAGGAGGAGAGGGGAGAGAGAGGAGGAGAGGGGCGCTGCAGTGTGCATTATGCAGGCGAGAAAGTGTAGTGTTGCAGCCCTGTTGCCGGTACTCATAAATATCCCGTCTTATCCTTGCCTACCTCTTCCCCCTTACCCTTATTTACCCCTTACTTTCCTTTACTTATTTCCCTTTTACCTTCCTCACCTCTTTACTCTCCTACTTGACTAACTCTTCATCTTGTCTTCCCCCTTACATTTCCCCCACCATCACCCCTCCCTCCCCTACACTTCCGCACCATCACCCCTCCCTCCCCTACATTTCCCCCACCATCACCCCTCCCTCCCCTACAACTTCCCCCACCATCACCCCTCCCTCCCCTACACTTCCCCCACCATCACCCCTCCCTCCCCTACACTTCCCGCACCATCACCCCTCCCTCCCCTACATTCCCCCCACCATCACCCCTTCCTCCCCTACACTTCCCCCCCATCACCCCTCCCTCCCCTACACTTCCCCCACCATCACCCCTCTCTCCCCCTGGGTACGTGTAACATACCAAAAGGCCATAGAGGGGAAATTTTTGGAGCAGAGCGGGGGGAACCGAACCCGCGTCCTGTGTTCTTCCAACCACACGCATTACCCACTGGACCACGATATGTTTAAATGTAGCACAACCTCTCCCGAAATTTCAAGGAGCTTGGAGGCACGGAGCTG